CCCCTCTTAAATCCCGTATATTCCCGTGGCCTCTGAAACACCCGCGGCATCAAGGCCATTTGTTGGGCACGAGCTCCCATGGCGCCTGGTCCCACGGCACTGCGCCTCCGTGCAGTGGGGAGGTGCCGTCTGATTGCTCGGTTTCCTGCCGGCCGTGCTGCAGTGAGGCTGCCACTCACTGCCCGCACCCCCCAGTTTGTGCCACGTGTGAGCTCTCCCTTCAGAGAGCTGGCCCAATAGCACCCACACTGAGCTGGGCGCAGCGGGAGAAGCCGCCTGTCTGTTCGTGTGTTTGAGAGGACTCAGGTGTGCAGAATTTGATTCGTCAGAATTCTTGGTTCGAGACACGCACTCTTCATTGGTCCTTGCATGGCCTGTTTCTTAATCTGTTTGATGATCAGCAATAATAAGCCACAGCCAACCTGAGATCTAGACCTTGACGAAACTTGTATCTTCTTAACCCACCCCACCCTGCCCCACCTGCCACTGGCTGCGCTCACTGCCTGAACCTGTGCTTCTCACTCTCCTGCTTTGTTGAAACATAGACAGTTTACACACTTCAAGTCATACATGTGAGCTTTAAATATACACACAGGCATCTATATAGAGTTAAGTGTAGTTTTATCATTTGTGCTCTTTGATAGACATATATAGTCACGTGTATGTATATAGTACATGTAAATCTGTGTATGTGTATATGTTATACATGTAAATGTGTGTACATACTAGTATATATGTTGTACATGCATGTGTGTAAATGTTGTACCTGCACACGCATGTAGATGTACATGTACATGTGTGTGCGTGTATGCATGTGCATGTATATGTGTTATGTGTGTGTTAAACATGTGTACATGCATAGAGGGAGTGAGAGAGTTTAGAGTCAGTTGTTTGTCACTTGATATAAAAGAGTGTCATGCTGTAAATAAATGTTCTGGGGCTTCCTGCCTATGTAGGAATATGCCTCTAAGATCTGCCTGGTATTGCATGTGGCTTAGTCTGTTCATTCTCACCACTGGACCAGACTCCGCTGTGTTATTCCACCTCAGTTCACATACCCCTTCTCTTGTCTGGTGGGTATTTGGTTTCTTTCTGTGTTTGCTTTCCCCTGTGTCTTATGGAACATTTTAAACATGTTCAAAAATAAAGAGGATGGCTCAGGGAGCCCTGCACTCATCATCAGTGTTGACACCTGGCCACCTTATTTCATTGACACTCCCGCCAGCAATGGATGATTCTGAAATGAATCTCAGCCATCAGCCATAAATATTTCCGCGTGCCTCTTAGAAAGAGAACTCTGCTTTCCAAATGTAGCCACCCAAAATCTCATGTGCCCCTGATACGATCCCAAATCCAGTGTTCAGATTCCCCAGCGTCTACACGCCGTCCAGCAGCATGACCTGCCCTTGTGAGCGTGGTGGCAGGAAACGCTAGGGGTGCAGTCAGGCGTCTAGGAAGCCACTGGCTGTTCTCGTCCGGCTGCATCAGTTTGTTTTCTGGGTCGTCGCTGAAGCTGACAAAACCTGAAGTTGGGGAACTCCGAAGAGCACTGGAGGAGGAGTCCAGGAGGGGGAGAGGGATAAAGCCACGAGGCCCCGACCTGAGCCAGCCGATCCAGGAAGAGAGGAAGCACCAGACCTACTGCCTGAATGTCCTCACCTATGGTTCCTTCTGGAGGTGTTTCCCCCTCCTGCCCAGTTTTAACTTCTAGTTCGATGCCAACGGCCTCTCCATCCCTTCTATTCTCTCCTCCCTCCTTACATGAGGGAGCGCTGACCTGTGCATTGGCCCATTTCTATGGTGCGAGTACTCCCACGCTGGCCGATTTTACGCCTCCAACCTCCTATCCCTGAACAGATTCGGGAGAAATGCCAGCCACACCGGCTCTTGCAAGAGGTGCAAGCTGGGCCCCGCACCCCGTGGCGTGGCACAGATTGCCTTTTCACTCCCCAGGACCTAATGAGAAGTGATCACAGGGGTGAGAGTGACTGCTCCGAAGTGGCCTGGTGCGCCTCTGCCGCCCGGCAGTGCGTGCGTGCTGCGCTCCAGGGCTGCTTTCGTCCACGGTCTGGTTACTGCGGAACAGGTCACATCCATGGCTCTTCCATGTGTGTTTCTCCTGCATGTTTCTTACTCATGTTCTTACGTTATTAGGATTATGATGCTTTTCTTTAAAGTGTGAATAACTCTATATGCTATAGTTTTAATTCCTTGAACTTTCTTTGCCTTTTGTTTTTATTATTTTGTCAACAGAAATTGTAGCAACATTAAGTCTGTCAGCCTTCACTCTGGCGATTCTTTTACTGGGAGTGAGCCCAAGAGGAGGTGTCCTGTTTTCATCATCCTACAGCACATGGCAGGCATGACTCCAGGTGCTGGGGACACAGCCATGACCCAAGCAGCACCTCCGCCCTCATGGAGCCCTCATTCCAATGGGGAGAGCAGACAGAAATGAAGGAAGCAAGCATATAATAAAAGGTCTGGTGAGGATAAGAGCTACAACATAAAGCAGAGTGAGGGGGAAGGAGGTGTAAAGAGGTGCCATTTAGAAGGGCCTCTGGGAAGGTCACCTCGGAACAGACTTGAACGGGTGAAGGCGTGAGTCATGCTAATTTTCCTGCAATTTGATTTTTAAAAATAATCTCACTGGCCCAGGACCGGTGGCTCAGTTGGTTGGAGTGCCATCCTGTACATCAAAAAGTTTCAGGTTCAATCCCTGATCAGGGCACATACGGGAGGCAACCATCAATGTTTCTCTCTCACACATCGATGCCTCTCTCACCCTCTCTCTCTCTCTCTCTCTCTCTCTTTCTCCCTCTCTCTCTCTCTCTCTCCTCTCTCTCTCTCTCTCTCTCTCTCTCACATTGGTCCTGCTTTGAAAGTACACACACACACACACACACACACACCAATAGGAACCTTTTGTTGTGTGAGGATTTTAAAAAAAGAAGATAATCTAATTGGAAATATTTTGGCATATGATATAAGAGGCTGATTATTTTTTCTACAATGTATGCACCTACCTCAATATCCCTTCCTTTCTCTTTAGTTTTAGAACTCGGTTTAAGGTTGGGTCTACTTCTCAGTTCACTAATGTGTTTTAACTGCATTTTTCTGATAGTCTACTCTATTTTAATTGCTCTTTTTTGGATCATCCTTTTGAAAAAAAATCACCAATTTGTGTTTTAGCATGTCTAAGCTATCCTTCCCAGCCTCGAAATGAAATTCCATCTTCCCAAATAGGCAAACTCTGCTTAACTGTCTTTGTATGTGTGACATCTCCCAGAGAGCAGAGCCAAAGAGACTTTTAATATCTTTTTGTTAAATGATGACTAAATGAATTTCAAACTCATTTTGACATTTTTAATGCTTTTCAGGTCTAAGGGTACCTCACTCTTTTAAGTGGGTCACGCATGACAGAGGACTCACCTGAGCCACACAGCTCCTGCCATTCAGTTTAATGTAGTAAACTTTACATGAATGCTCGGTCCCTTTCTACAGCCCCTGGAAGCGCACCTACGGAAAGGCGGAAGGCCCTGCACACAGACAGCCACTGCGTCAGTCAGACTTCCATTTGTATGTGAGTCATCGTACTTCCTTTATTTTACTTGAATAGGATTAAACATCTTGATGACCAGTCTTCAACGTCGTCAGGCCGTATGCTTTTCCAGTTCTGTGTCTGTGCCGTCTGCGCATCCATATTCCCCCCAAAACCAAGAAGACCAGCGAAAGGGGGGCCAGCGCAATCCCCCAGGAGAACGTGGCGGCTGCGGGAAGAAAGGTCAGGACAGGGTCAAACATTCTCACCAGATAGGACAGTGCGTGCGGGTTTGGGGGCAGAGAGCCACTGGGGGTGGGCCCTCCAATAAATGCGCACTGAGCTTCAGAGTGTGTGTCCGGGCACCAGGACCAGGGGCATTGGAGGGCGGCCTCTGTGGCGCCATGGAAACCAGCAAAGGGCGCAGCACTTCATCTGAGAGAAGCAGCAGAGCAAGGGTCTGCCTCGGCCCCCCCACTGGGTGGTGTACAGGGAGCTGTCGCGTGGGTGGGCCTCAGCTCGCAACCGGGACGAGGCCGGGTTAGCTCTGACCTTTCCCAATGAGCATGGTCATGAGGATTCAATACAGTCACAGAGGAAAGAAAACAAACTGTGAAAAAAGAAGTCTAGGGGTGGAGATCGTTGCTTGGATGCAGCTGTTTTATGTCCAGCTCCCTGGCTTCTGTGTGTTACGAAAACATAAGAAGAGACTGTGAAGAAAAGTTAACGAGGAAACACAAGAACGTGAGTGCTGTCAGACACAGTGACGAAGAGGCCAGAATTCCACGTGTGTCTGTCATGCTGTCTATCATAGTCTCTCTAGGCATCCAGCAGCCAACACAATTTCAGACTATTTTCTCCAGGCGATTCTTACACCCTAAAACCCAACAAAGCTTTAAGTGGGTGATGCTTCCATCTGCTGAGCGGCCATTCGAAGGCACCTATGTATCCCTGTGGTCAGTCATGGCCAGCTCAGCAAGAGGACACGGCTCTCATTACAGAATGGTTAGAGATCCCACCATCAGGCTGGACAACCACAGTTCCTTTGGGTCACGAATCTGAGCCCTAGCAGTGGGCTCCGCTCTCTGTGGGACCTCCATTTCCAAGTCTAAACAGCCCCCAGCCCCTGTGGAAACAAGCTGGACTTCAGCTTTTGCATATCCTTCAGTATGAAGGGGCTGTGCAGGTGCCCCTCTCGGCCCTCCCCGGGGTGCCTGGGGGAGCCCAGGGACCTGTATGTCACCAAGCAGCTCTGTGAGCAAGACTGGTGGCTTTCCTTTTGGAAAAAGGTTGTGTGGAGATGTCTTCTCGGCCCTGAGACCTGGCCCAGCCCTCAGCTTTCCCATGACAGTCTGTCTGCACTGCCCTGGGTGGTGCCTGGAGCGGCTGTGTCCCCGCACATGCCCAGAGGTGTGATGATGACCTCACAGCTCAGGCCAACTCTGGCCGGTCCCTCGTCATCTTCTGGGGCTGCCGACAGCCCACCGGGCCGTCTCCTTCCTGCTCAGCTAAACTAAGAAGGCGGGGTTTTCTCTCTTCTTTTAAAATGTCCTAATGTGGGCACTGGGTTGATTTGCCTTTTGCTCTATTTCCTATTCACTGATGACTTTAACCCTAAAGCTGCCTCGAGCCCTGGGATCTACCAGTCCTGGCTCTTGGGGGTAAGGTTTCTCAGCTTGGGCGTAAAGAACGTACCCCCTTCTCAAGGGGTCACAAGGGACCCCTTGCAGCTGGTCCTGCTGCAACACGCAGATCCACAAGAGGACACAGGTTTCCTAGGGTTTATCACAGAACCATTTTATCTCTTTTCCAAAAATCTGCTTGCTATTTACATTTTTATTTGACTATAATCTCCTAAAGCCAGCCTCCACCCTACAGAAAAAATTGTAAAATATTAGAGATTTGTTCTAATTCCTGGAAACTTCCTACCCTTGTTCCAATATTAGCGATTTGCTCAACTAACAGGAAGCCCAAGGGACTTGCTAAGTGATTCTGGAGAACTGGCAGCCTTGTCCAGCACCCAGAGAACATTCCACACGCTTCCCGTCAGGGCGCCCGGAATACATACCTTCTTTGACTGTGGTATGCAGCATCTGAAAACTCAGTGTGTTGTGAACAACACATTTAAAATCCGTGGTCAGATCCTCTCTGATGACTGGATCAAAAATCAGGGGCACTTCAATGTAGTTCGCGTTGTTTTCTGAGTATTCCCTGCGTGAGAAGGCGTTTGCTCAGGGGGGCGGTCAGGTCAGGCTGGCCTTACACACAGACACCCAAACATGCCCAAGAAGGGCCCACGGTGCCTGCACTGATTTCAAGGTTAAGACAGTTAGGAGCACTGGCCATCCTACTAGTATTTGTTACTAATTTGGGAGGATTTCTAAGTGGCTTCTGAAGGTAGGAGTGACACTGACGATGTGGCGATGCTGGTCACTGTGACAGGACACTTGTTACAAGGAGAGATCACGGGAGCCAGCTTATTTTGAATAATGGGAATTTCATCTTTTATGGCCCTCAATGAACAAGGAGCTAGGAGTGGAGCTAGACATGTCTCATTTTGGGAAACTTGACTGTATCACCAACAAATCATTTGCATATTGAAGGGCAGGGAGTTTCCAGAAATCCAGTTTTCAACAGTGTCCCCTCCTCTCATCTCCACTGCCAGCTCTCACTCTGGAAACTCAAGTTCAGAGTGGAAGAATGTTAGTTTCGCAATGAGGACTAGCAAACAATTGTGCTAACCACACATTATTTTATCCGCTCAATTGCACCCGGGAAGACCTTTTTGATAGGTCTTTTAAAAATTGGGCAATGGGAAGTTCAGGCTGCTTCAGGGACTGACCCTATAGTTTTCAAAGTCTGTGCTTTATAACTGGAACATCACATGGTCTCCCTCCCTCACATAAACGTTCCTATTTACAAGATCTGATTGTTCTACTTTCAAAGGGAGAAACCCCTTTCCGCGGTGACTGCTTCTGAGAACAGAACTCTTTCTCACTTTGAATATTAGCCTCCCTTAGACCGTGGCAGCCAGCGTGCCCTGGGACACAGGGCTCTCGGATGCTGTGACTAAGTTTCAGAATTTTTGAAGGGTTCGTGAAAATGTTTGACACTCAGGTTGCAGAGTGGGGAATAGAAATATATTAACTCCAAGTATTTTTAACTGCAAAAATCAAGAAACAAGCATTTGATTAAACAGCTAGAAAATGCAACCTCAGTGACAAGCAGTTGGCTGCAACTCAGCTCTTATGTAGAAAGTTTGCTTCTCAAGAACAGATGGTAATTCTGAGTAAACTCAATTTCTAAAATTCTAAAAATCCAAGAGTTCATACTAGCAAAATTATCTTTAATATAGCATGTGTGCCCTGTTGAGAGGTTGGTTATGGCATTGTCTCTTTAAAAATGGGTGAAGCTGATGGAGGGCTCACGAAGCTCGCTAGCCAAAGGCCCTGCGTGGGCACACCCTCTCCCACTCACAGGCGCGGCCCCTCACGCACGCGGCCGGCCTGGTAGGCGGCGTCGATGCTGGTGGCATTGGCCATCCACCACAGCAGGGTGGTCGAGTGCGGGCCGCCTCCCAGGAACACCTTGCACGGGACCGTCAGCCTCGAGCCTGTGGACAGCGGACATGCAGACACATGAGAAGCAGCCGGATGCAGGGTGAGTCCCGCTCCTCCTCGCGCACCGGCAGATCCGAGCTGGACCCTCCCGTCTCCGCAAACACCAGCCAACTCCTTTCTTAGAAGGAAACCGCTCCCTGAAGAGTCCCTTCACATCGGCACAGCACCGGTGGTTACCCAGTGTCTCCGGTCCCTCCCCCGGCCTCGGCCGAGACACCCAGAGGCGCGTGCTTCCCAAGGCCACTGGCTCCTGCGAGCCGCCTTCGCTCCCACCCACGCAGCTTGGCCCCGATCCAGTGGACACGTGCCCTTCCCTGCCTCGCCGTCCCTCCCCCAGTTCCCGGGACTCCGCGTGCAGGAGGAACAGCTCCTAGCCCGTTACAGGAGGTGCCTGTGTGCTGGCCGTGCACTCACTGCCCTGCCGCGCGTGCTACCAGTCATGTTTTCAGTTGCCAAAGGAAAGAAGGGGGGACACATCCTTCCCGTTTGCTTTTCCCTCGTGGGCGCTAGGCCACCTCAGGCTCCCACACAGCCTTTCTCCCCCCTCCTCCCCAGGGGACCCGAGACTCCTCAGCCCAGAGTCCTCGGGATGCCCTCAGCCCTCCCAGAAGGGCGGGAAGCTCAGCGTGGGGGGGGGGGACCACCAGCTCTCCCAGGCCCCCAGTAACCCTGTTAAATATAAGCCCAACCTACGCAAGAAGACTCATGTTAGCAGGACACCGATGTTTGCTTCTAGGACCAGGCTCCTCTTGCAGGGACCACAGAGGGAACGATGCAGCTCTCCATACAGACACAGAAAGGGAGTGACTTGACTCCCAATGAGGACCCGAGAATCAGCATAACCTGCCGAGAGGAGAGGAGAGGAGAGGAGAGGAGAGGCCAGAGTTTAAGGAATGAGCATAGCCTACAAATGCTGTACAGAAACCAACACAGAACGGCCGGGCCTCGGACACAGGCGGGCCGAGCCCCAGCCTGGCCTTTCTCAAGCCATGGTGACCCCGCAGCTTTTCCTGCTGGAAATGGGAGAAATAAGCAGTAAGACCTCGTGGGAGCCCCACTGGGCACACCGTTGTTCAATAAGGAAGTGAGGGCTGGCCCAGACGCCCTGCGCCAAAGGGGGTGCAAAAGGGACCATCCTGCCCATCATTGCCATCACCTCATTGTACAGATGGAGCCCTAGGGGATGTGAGCGGCAGCTGTCAGTGGCGTGACTGGTTTCTAGGGCAGGTCCTGGTCTGGGACCTGCCCTAGAACACCCTCCCCCCCCACAACTGCTGCCCAATGCCCCACGTGTTCGGTTTAGATCCTCTTAGGTGGGGTTTTCATGAAGCACAGTCCACCTTTTTAAAAAACACCATTTCTAATCACACTGGCACGAGAGTTGCCCTCACATTTGTCATTTCAGCCTCTCATCCTGGGTGCCAGACCCCCCCCAACACCCCCTCCTTCTCATGCTGCACACCAAGGGCAGGCGCAGGTGGGGCCCGGGCCCAGAGCTAGGGCGACAGGCAGCCGGGCCCCCAGGCCTTACCCAGGGAAGCCGAGATGGTCTGGTGCGGGGACAGCATCACGGGTACGGTCTCCACTTCTTTCCCTGAGACGGACGCAGAAAGGAGGTCAGTTAGGGCTTCGTCCAGCGGGTCAGGCCGTGGCCTAGCCAGGGGCCCGCTCTCCCAGTGTGGCCGTGCCTTTCCGAGAGAGAGAGAGAGAGAGAGAGAGAGAGAGAGAGAGAGAGAGAGAGGCGCGACTGGTGGGAGCCCCGCACACATCCCCTCACAGCCTTCCTTCCAGGGCAAACACTGGCGGTTCCCCTCTCTGGCTTCCTGGACGAATCCTTTCTCTGAATAAACCCCTGACAGGAACGCGCACACTGTCCCCAGGATAGGTCTGCCCAGAGTCCATTTGCCTAAATGTCTCCCCCCTGCACCCAGCCCACCCGCTCCCCGCGGAGCCCTGAAGCCCGTCTGGGAGAGGAAGAGGCAGGTTCATGTGACGCTAAGCCCCGTGGGGGGAGCTCATGCTGCCCACGGGGGCTTCCTGAGGAGATAATCCCTTTGGGGGCAAAGGTGGTCTCCGATGAGTCAGAGCCCAGCTCCCCAAGAGGCAGGACTCCCAGCAGCTTGAGGAAAACTGGTCACCTGAACGGGGCAAAAAGATCAGCTTGGGGTAGACAACCGGCCCATCCCGCCCCACTGGCCCCAGCCCGGCTTCTTCCCTGGAGAGCACCCGAAGCCCTGACCGCGCTGTCCCCCCTACACACACACACACACACCCCGCAGGGCACGGGGAGGCGGGGCAGGCAGACAGAGCTGGGGCCTTGATGCACCCTGCGTCTAACTTAACTTGGGTCGCACAGCATCTCGGGGTGGGCTGTGAGACACACTGCTCCGATCCCAGCCCCCGCTCCCAATCCAGAGGCCAGGATGGGCCAGGTGTGGCCTGTCTGCCCAGTGCCCAGGGGGTGGCTGTGCCCTCCTCCCAGAGGCAGAGACCGCCCACGGGCTACAGGTGAACAAGGGGTTGGCGCCCCCTGGTGTCCCTGCGCAGCATAGGAGCAAGGAGGCCCTGAGCATCAGCTCTCTGTCCCCGGGGACTGAGTGGAGATGCAGGCACCCTCACAGGACAGTAAAAGTCACATAATCTAGTGACTTGTTTTCATGGGAGATGGTGAAACTGTATCTCTGGGTTCTGTGGGAAAAGGTTAATCTTTTCCCCTCATAGGCCAATCATTCAACCTTAATATACCCCCAAAGCTCCCTGAAATGCCCTAAAAGGCTCCAGTTGAGCAGCTATTCTGCATGTAAAACAAAGGAAGCAGCCTGTTTTCCAGGACGAGAGCACCATTTACCCCGGCGCCATCCTGGGCATCCAGCCTGGGGGGTTGGTTCGCTGATGAACAAATAGTAAACACTGACCAATCATGCTCACAGCATTTCCCCAGCAGAGTTCATGGAAACCCATAGGAACACTCACTGTCTGAAATCTTGCTTTCACGGGCAGCTAGGGGAGCACGCCAGGGGCAGTTCCCACTGGGTGTGCCACTGCCTGGCCTTCCAGCAGAAACACCCAATAAACCCTACTAGCAACACCTACAGACAGTCCTACAGACAGCCCTACAGACAGCCCTACAGACAGTCCTACAGAGAGTCCTACAAGCAGCCCTACAGACAGCCCTACAGTCAACCCTACAGACAGTCCTACTGACAGCCCTACAGAGAGTCCTACACAGCCCTACAGACAGCCCTACAGAGAGTCTGACAGACAGTCCTACCGACAGCCCTACAGACAACCCTAAAGACAGTCCTACCGACAGCCCTACAGACAGTCCTACCGACAGCCCTACAGACAGCCCTACAGACAGCCCTACAGACAGTCCTCCAGAGAGTCCTACAAGCAGCCCTACAGACAGCCCTACAGACAGCCCTACAGAGAGTCCTACAGACAGTCCTACAGAGAGTCCGACAGACAGTCCTACCCACAGCCCTACAGACAGTCCTACCGACAGCCCTACAGGCAGTCCTACTGACAGCCCTACAGACAGTCCTACTGACAACCCTACAGATAGTCCTACAGACAGCCCTACAGACAGCCCTACAGACAGCCCTACAGACAGCCCTACAGAGAGCCCTACAGACAGTCCTACAGAGAGTCCGACAGACAGTCCTACCCACAGCCCTACAGACAGTCCTACCGACAGCCCTACAGGCAGTCCTACTGACAGCCCTACAGACAGTCCTACTGACAACCCTACAGATAGTCCTACAGACAGCCCTACAGACAGCCCTATAGACAGCCCTACTGACAGCCCTACAGAGAGTCCTACAGACAGTCCTACAGAGAGTCCGACAGACAGTCCTACAAGCAGCCCTACAGACAGCCCTACAGACAGTCCTACAAGCAGCCCTACAGACAGTCCTACCGACAGCCCTACAGACAGCCCTACTGACAGCCCTACAGAGAGTCCTACAGACAGTCCTACAGAGAGTCCGACAGACAGTCCTACAAGCAGCCCTACAGACAGCCCTACAGACAGTCCTACAAGCAGCCCTACAGACAGTCCTACCGACAGCCCTACAGACAGCCCTACAGACAGTCCTACCGACAGCCCTACAGACAGCCCTACTGACAGCCCTACAGACAGCCCTCAGATAACCCTACAGACAGCCTTACAGATGGTCCTACAGACAACCCTACAGACAGTCCTACAGAGAGTCCGACAGACAGTCCTACAAGCAGCCCTACAGACAGCCCTATAGACAGCCCTACTGACAGCCCTACAGAGAGTCCTACAGACAGTCCTACAGAGATTCCTACCGATAGCCCTACAGACAGTCCTACAGAGAGTCCTACAGAGAGTCCTACAGACAGCCCTACAGACAGCCCTACAGACAACCCTACAGTCAGCCCTACAGACAGCCTTACAAACAGCCCTACAGAGAGTCCACATGGAGTGTGGCAGCCGCGTTGGTGGCCGCCCAGGAGGCGCAAGCTTTCCCAATCTTCCCGGGAACCCCTGCTGGGCCCCCCTCGTGGTGTTTTAGTCTCAGACTTGGAGCCCAGGGCCTCACCTTCCTCAAAATAATCTCTGCTTTCTACCTTTCACAGTGTCTCACACCTCTGCTTAGCCTGATGTTTTAAGAGAGTTGACGTATGTGTTTTCCCTTCACACCAAAGACATTCAAGGAAACCTAGGTGCGCCCTAATTTGTTCTTTGCATGCTTGAGGTCGAACCAGGCAGAGAGGCGCTCGATGGCCGGCACTTACTGTGGACACGGAGTTTGATATTCCTTGTGACGTTGTACCGCGTGCCCCCGTGGGCAAAGGCCATGACACAGCGGTAACGGCCCGCGTCCTCCACAGACACATCGCGGATGAGTAAGCGCGTCGTTCCTCTCACACTGACAAACCTCTCACTGTCTTGATCCAAGAGGACAGAATCCTTAGGGAAAATGTTTTTCAAAAGTTACACTCTGTCCTAACTTTCTCTCAACAGCTATGAATGGGATCAGTATGACCCATCCATGTGGAATTTGGAACCTAAGACTGGCCTTGTTACTATTTACTTTGCAAATATTGTACTTTGGACATAATTTTACCTCTGGTTTTGAGAGAGGGAATTTGTTAACATAGAAAACAAAGTTGCTGAATCTGTTTAAACACCATGCTTAAGGCACGTTTGCTACAGCGCTGCGAGAGGGTGGGAAGAAGCTCTCTTCTTCAACAGACAACCATTGAAAATACAAATATCAGTCTGGCCTGACAGCTGCCCCTGGGCCTTGGGGGTCCCCAGGAAAGAATCCTGCTCTATGGTCACTGTGACTGGGAAAGCAGTCTTCAGAAGAGATGACGTTGCTGTAATTACTTTAAAAATTAATTCAATATTAGGAGTCGGTAGAGAAGTGGAAAAAATAGTAAGAAAAACTAAATGTGAGAAATGAGGCCACACCTTTCATAGGGACAAAAGATAGTGTGGCTTCTGCGGAAGAGCAAGGCCGCCAACAACCCAGAAGCGGCTGAACAGGAGCTGGGAGCTCCCTGATGAGCACAAACTGTTCTCAGGGGCGCACGTGCCAAACCCGGTGCTTGAAATTGTGCTCTGCTCAAATGAGTCATTGCAGCTTCTTACCAAATGGGAACACAGGCATAGCTAGAAGAGTTTGTTCCTCTCGAGCTATTTAATTAAAAGGCGAGGTTATTGTTCCTAACGTGAGGACAAATATGAACAAGCCCAGTGGGGCCAGCACAGTTCTCCCATGGCCCCAACCACGGGACTGCCTGCCAGCAGTGGGTGTGGAGCTCCTGGCTGAGGGTTTTGGCTTCGCCATCGCTCTGCTGTGTGCCCTTGGGCAAGTCTGACATTTGTGTATCTCTGTTCTCTAATCTGTAAAGTAGAGGAATTAATCGTTTCTGCTTTGTTGTTGCATGGCAACGAGTTTAGAACAGAACTCTGCACGGCATGTGCTCAGGAACAGTCAGCATTGAGGAAGGGCAGGAGGATCACTGAGCACCCCTGGGACATCCCGTCTGACCGCTACTGGGCTCCATGCGTCTGTCAGCCCCACGCGAGGGCCTCATGCACGGTGCTCCACCTCGGGCTCGTGGCCGCCTCGCAGAGGGAGCAGGTGTCAGGTGAAATCAGTGGGCCACAGCTACACAACAGCCAAATGGAAACACACAGGCCTCTAACCCAGAGCGGGGACGCCCGGCCCGTGCTCTTTCTGCTGCAGGCACGGCCTCTTACCTGTCCTGTTAACTCTTCCTAAACAGAAAAGAATCCAGTCCCTAATTGGGCGCCGATTTCATAGGGGCTGCTACTTCCTTCTACTTCCAGAACATCATTTACGTTTGCAGCATCCACTGATATAATATACATATATCTTGAAGTTGTAATACCAGTCAACTGGCTAACCCATTTTTTTTCTAAAAAGTTACATTTTAATAATTATGACAAAATTATAGATATTCTTGATTGAGATTATACTATAAAATTAGGTTTCTATAGATTGAGGAGTAACACGTGTATTTCAAAAATGAAAGTCCCTAACTTCTTTTTCTCTTGCCCTCTGGAAATACCTTTAATGCCTTTGCAATTAGCAAAGCAGTAAAACATAAAAACATAATGTAACACTGACTTATAAAAATAGAAAGTGAATCCTTTATCCTCAAAACATCATTGTTGTTTCAATGTATAATCCTCCATATTTTTAAATATATTAAACCATATTTTTACATAACTAGGAAATATAACATGTCATTTAAAGCCTTTAAACTATAGCAGTGTTGTATTTTTTCTTCTATGTTTTGTAAATACTTATGATAGTCCACTGTTCCTATGAGATGAAATTAGTTTAACCAGTCCCTCATGGTGAGCATTTTCTTGTTTCCAGTATCTTCTTATAAGCAGTGCTTCAGTAAACATGTGAATACATCGTGTAATATATACTTGTCTCATTTCCACATACGTTTTTAAATGGACCCAATTCTTGATTAAAGGGCCAATTTCTGTCCACGATTAAACAAGTAACTATACTTTCCAATATCAGTCTACAGTCTGTATCAGTACCGTTTCTGTGAAGGGCCAGATAGTGTAAGGCCCACAGTGTGCATGGCCTTGGACCATACCCAGCTCTCCTGCTGCAACGGGAAAGGTGGCTGGTCCCAGTACAGCGTTACCGATGCACGAGAGCTGGAGTCCTGTTACTCACATGCCATAAGAGAGTGCGATTCTTTTACATTTTTTAGCCGTTTAAAAACGTGAGGACTAGCCTCTCTTGCAGAAATAGGCGGCGCCTCCGTGTGGCCTGCGGCTGCGTTGCCCATGCCTGGCCCACCTACCAGGAGCTGATGGTAATATTTACTCGACCAGGCAAGAGAAGGTGTGTTTGTACTTACTCCTTTCACCAAAAGTTGTACATAAGTTGTTAAGTTAACCAACAATTGTTTTCTGAATTTTAACAGGCAAATAGAGTGGAGAGCTGTCTTTTTCGCTGTTATTTACACGGGATTCATTTCATATCCTCAAATCATCACTCAGGAATGAGCCACATAAGGATCAATAGAGCATATTGACCATGGTCCTTTATAATTAAGGCCTTTTATCTCTTTCGCGTAGCAGTAAAGTGCACAGTAATTGAACACTACTTGTTGGAAAGGTACCTTGTACCACTGAATCTTCAGGTCAGTTTTGTTCTGGGTGAATTCACTCAGTTCAGGGCAGACTAAGGAGCCTGAGGCCGCAACGGTGAGCACCTGCGGGTAGGAGACAGCGGGCAGCGAAGCGTCTGTGTTCTCCAGCACCCTGAGGTCCAGGGCCATCTGGTCACAGTACGAGGCATTTCTGATTTAAAAGGGGAAAAGGTAATGAATGGCAAGGCAAAATAAACGTAAATCTAAATGAAATTAGGTACAATTTCCCTAATCCCGTTAAATTCTGCATTTTTTATTAGTATGGTGATACTTTGATCCCTGATCCTTTTGAATCCATGGGGGACAAAGCAAGCACCACATCATAAATGTTATTCGAAATGACGATATATTCTGAATTTTTCCCAGAAGGCCCTTCACCAGCCTGATCGCCACACCACCACAGCCGACACCGCCAGGTTCTGGGATCCTTGAGCCAGTGCGCCTGCCTCCTGGGTCAGGGGACACATCCTCATACCGGAGTGCTCCGGAGGCCTCCGTCTCCTGTACAGAAGAGCCCTTTACTTCTCGGGCGGTCACTGTTAGCTGAAGTCTAATTTCAGAAAACTGCTGAGAACTGAGTATAAAATCTAGAGATGTTTGCCCGCTGCCTGGGGGACACTAACTCAGTGAGTCTGTTTGTTTGGATTTTAATTTTTTGTTGTTGTTGGGATAACTGTAATCTCAATATTGTAATCCTATCAACACCCTAGAACTGGGAAATGGCACCAGCAACTCGTGTCTAGAAACATGGAGGAGATGGCAGGTGACAGAGGATATGAACTACAACTAAGCTTTGTCGTTATCTCACTAACTTTCTAGCTACCTAAGAGATGAACAAACATTTTACGCACAAAGAAATACAAAAAGTTAACTATCGCCTTGGAAAATGCACATCAAGGAGACATGAGCCAGGACCAACCTCCAGGGCAGCCCGTGCCTCCCAGCGGCTCCCGGACGGCGGCGAGGAGGGCTGCTGGCCTGGCTGGGGCTGCAGGCATCCGCACTCATGCTCCAGCACCGGGAGCCAGAAATTATTAGTGTTAAGGTGGGGAAATTACATATATGGAAAGTAAGCAATTTCCTAAGGCCATACAGTTGCTAAGAGGTCAAAGCAAGGCTGAGACCCAGCAGGGCCCTGAGAAAACCCTTGAATTAGGACTGTATCTCTGGAAACACGCTTACTAGACATACTGAGAGTCACAAACCTGTTCACATTATTGATAAAGTGATTCCCCTTGAGCAAGAGACCCCATGAAAGCACCCCAACAGAAAGAGAGGGAGTCATGCCATCGCCACTCTTATTGCCCCTGGAGTGTGGTTTCCCCACAACAAAAGGGTGGGTGTCATTAGTGTTCTCTGCACACATCCATCCTCCCATCCTGCTCACATCCTGGCCCCACTGTGAGAGGGGCAGCTACTTGACTGTAGTCACTTCTACACCAGGGAGCCCCTCAGAGCATGCTTTGTCTTGGTACAGGGACCAACGTTCAGTCTGGGTCCCCAAGCATGTGCCCAGCCCTCCTGGCTTGCTGCCTGGGTGACAACCTTGCCCTGTTGTTCGAAACCCTGAGACTAGAGGGTCACGATTTGGCAGCTCAGCTACCCATCCCTTTCCCCGATTGACAGAAAGGCCCCGTGGGTGCTACACCTCAAGACTTTAGGGCAGGGCAATCTCATGCCCTCTGGCTGTAAATGCCAAAGGGGATTGTGGCAACTGCTGGTGATTCTAGGTCCTTTGGATCCCAATCTTGGATGGGAAGAGAGCTTTAGCAATCTGCTAGCCAGTGACCGGCAAACTCATTAGTCAACAGAGCCAAATATCAACAGTACAGTGGGGCCTTGACTTACGAGTTTAATTCGTTCCGTGATGGAGCTCCTAACTCAAATTACTCGTATGTCAAATCAAAAGTGAACGAGTGAGAGGCAAACTGATGAGTCAACAGAGCCAAATATCAATAGTACGACAATTGAAATTTCTTTTGAGAGCCAAATTTTTTAAACTTAAACTATATAGGTAGGTACATTGTTATTAACTTAATTAGGGTACTCCTAAGGCTTAGGAAGAGCCACACTCAAGGGGCCAAAGAGCTGCATTTGGCTATCGAGCTGCAGTTTGCCGACCATGGAGCTAGGCAGTACATGCTCAAAAGCTTGACCCACATACGGGTTTCCACTGCCCCTCAATTCCAGATCTCTACTTTTCTAGAAGAATGGGAAACAAAACAAGAATACTAGCTAGGATTTTTTAGTGAAGTGTAACAACCTTCTTTAAGACAAATATGACTCAGCTGTGTCCCCCTGATCTCTGCAGATTATCACTTCGGGGGCAGTAAGCATTGCCGCTGGGGGAAGTGCCTTCTCTGCATCTGCTCTCACCGCTGTGGCTCTCCCCAGACTAGACACTCCACAGGCTTCGAGTCAGACCCGCCCAGCACTCTCCTGGGCACAGAACTGAGGCTGGAATTGCCAAGGAATCAGACCAAGATGGAAAATGGGAGGGTTCAGGTTCACATCCCTGTCATCCTAGCTCCACATTTTATTCTTTTTTAAAAAACACACTTCTAGGTTTTCCTAGCAGTGCTCCTGAGGGAAATGGGATTTTTGCACAAAAAGAAACAAAACTATGTATTTATAACTACTGTGCAGTCACACATACATCTTCCCTGGTACAGAAATGAGAGATGCTTGGCTTGCTTCCTAGGCAGGGTTCACTGACAGAAGGTCTCACACACACACACACACACACACACACACACACACACACACTCACACACACGCCCCATCTGGGAATCTGGGACTGGGGCTGATGTTGTGTGAAACCCTCCTGTTCACTAGCAATCCCTCTGTGCTAAGAGTGTCACTTCCTCTGGTTCTCTTTCTAAACGTCAATACTCATGAATATGGCTTCTCCGGAAATAAACGAGTTTCTGAAGCCTGAACGAGTTTCTAAGCTGACCAGAGGCGTGGGGGCAGCAGCTCCACTTCCCAGCCAGGCCAGCAGGCGGCCCTAGTCCTTCAGAAAAACTAGGCCAGGGAGTTGCCAACATCTCCAGCAGGACACGTAGGATCTCTCTTTCACAAAGCAGCAAGGGCCAATGCCATTCACCAGAGAAAGGACAGTCTTTCCAACAGGAAAACAGGACAGCCACATGCAACAGAATGAAGCTGGGCCATTACCTTAGCCATATATAAAAGTTACCTCAAAATGGGCCAGAGACCTAAACAGGAGAGCTAAAACAATAGAAATTCTTAGAAGAAAATGAGGAAAGCTTTACGACAGGGGAAAGCTTTACGACATTAGCTATGGCAATGGTATCTCGGATGTGACATCAAAAGCACAGGCAACCCAAGAAAATACAGATAAATTGAGCTTTATCAAAATTAAAAACTTCTGTGCATTAAAAGAACATTATCCACAGAGTAAAAAGGCAATCATAGAATGGTAGAAAATATGGCTAGCATATCCCTCCCCGCTAAAACACACAAAGACACACACGCACACAGAAAATCGTAAGTATTGGTGAGGATGTGGAGAAATTGGAACCTTGTGCATTGCTGGTGGGAATGCAAAACAGGGCAGCCACTGTGGTGTGATGGCTCTTCCAAAAGCTGACACAGATTCACCATATGAACCACCAGCTCCACAGATACATATATACCCATGTTCGTTAAGTATTATTCACAATAGCCAAAAGGCAGAACAAATGTACTGATAGATAACAGTTAACCAAAAGGTGGTCTATACTTACAATGGAATATTGTCTTAAAAAGAAAGGAAACCTGGTGCATTGCACAACGTGAATGAACCTTGAAAACATTATACCGAGTGAAGGAAGCCAGGCACCAGAGGCCAAGTGCTGCATGACTCCACTCGCATGCGGTCCCCAGGGGAGTCAAACCCACAGCAACAGAGGTAGGGTGGCTGTGCAGGGGCTGGGGGAGGGAATGAGAAGTGGTGGTTGTTTAACGGGAACAGAGTTCCAGTTTGGGTGATAAAAAGCTCTGAGCTGATGGTGCGATGGCTACACAGCAGTGTGAATGTGCTTAACACCACTGGGATGTACAGTTTAGTCCTATACAATAAGAGAGGAATATGCTAATTAGCCATTACGCCCTGAGGCATAACGACCAAGCGCATCACCACCAGATCACGGATGAGCAGGAGGGTGGGCCAGCGAGGTACAAGTGGGTTTCGGAGAGCTACAGGAGCGGGCAGGGCAGCAAGCTATGGGGGGGGGGGTACGGGAGGAGCTACAGGAGGGCAGCAGCAACCTACTGGCGCACGGATTTGTGTGCAGGGTTACCAGTGGATTACAATGGTAAATGTTATGTCATCCATGTGCTACCATAATTAAAGGGGGAAAAGCAACAGGACAAAGAGGGAGAGGGACTAGCCCTGTGGTCTCAGCTCCACACCATCTCCTGGGAGAACCTCATGTGTGAGCTTCATCCCTCTCATGTAGATAAGCAGTTCTAATGTCTCCTCAGGTTTCAGGTTCTATCCTCGTGTTCATGTGGACGGAGCAGGGAACAGGTGACCATGTCCCCGCCTGGAGCGTACATTCTGAAGGGCAGACCCAGGGGCAGGCTGGCCCTCCATGGCATTTGGGAGAGCCAATTAATGTCTGACCTACAGAGCAGGCTAACTTTTACATTGGTAATTTTGTATGGCCCATGAATGTTATAGATAGCCAAATGCCCTTGGCAGAGAAAAGGTTTCCCACCCCTGGGGTAGACAAACATGAACTACACACACACACACACACACACACACACACACACGTGGCAGAGGAAGGAAATCCTGGCCAATAAGCAGAGTGTGACAGGGTGGCTGAGAGGCGATGTCTGCGTGAGGACCTAAGTGGGGGCCAGGGAGCCATGAGAACATCTGGGGTGGCTCTCGCATGGAGGTATCTCAGACCAATGGAGAGGACAGCAGACTGTGTGCAGGCCCCACTGGAGCATGTGCACGGAGCCCCGCCCGCCGTGTCCCAGGCCTACCTGACAGTGCAGAGGTAGGTGCCTGAGTCGCCCTGCTGGGCGGGCAGGATCCAGAGGTCACCATCCTGGACCCACACTCGCCCGTCTTCCCCAGGGGCCGGCCCGGCAGAGCTGCTCTTGCGCCAGGTCACGGTGCCAAGGGGGCTGGCAGTAGCCCCCAGCCAGTACCGCGTCTGGGGGCACCTCAGGACCACAGGCTCCCCTTCCACCTTGAGACTGGTTTTAAAATGCTTGCCGCGGTCCTGGCAGCTCCCTGCAGCCACTAGAGGAAGAGAGACCCATCAGTCTTGGTGGCTATCCCCCGGTAGCTCACCCAAGGCCGCAGCAGCCCCCTGACAGTGAGGCGCCCTCTGGGCCCTCTCACCCTCTTGTTATAATGGTTTCAAAGCTCTCAAATGGCAACTTCAGGCTTACTATTCATTCCGATTTTATGGGGAAAGTTAAATCAGGTTCACAAAAAAATAATGGTGATGAAAAATAAAGATGAAAATGTTTGCCAGGCTTTTCACTTGGCCACTCCTTATTTTTAAAATGGCTCTTAGCTGAGTTCAGACACAAAACCGAGCTTAGTCCCCACAGGGGTGTGGTTACAGCCCAAAGGCCCTGGATCCAACAGGAATGAGGCTGCTCAGAGGAGCACCAAGATTGTCTTTGCATTGCATTTGTTTTCTTTTTATTCTATTTATCAAGGTAACATCTGTCTATACTAATAAAAGAGTAATATGCTAATTAGACCGGGAGACCTTCTGGAGACCTTCTGGACATCCTTCTGGACAAAGCCGGGGGCTTGGCCGGCCTGCAAACCACCCCCAGGCCCTCACTCAGGCCACCCAACCCCCCAGCCCAGGCTGCCCCACCGCCAGCAGGGACCTCTACCCCAGTGGGGCCATGGCCAGTCTGCAAATGGCCCTCAGTCCCTCTCTAAGGCTGGCCCCTCCCCCAGCAGAGACTTCCCTCACTCCAATGGGGGCATGGCCAAGCTGAAAACCACCCCAGCCTCTTGCCCAGGCTGGCACTGCCCCCAGTGGGGACCCCACCCCAACTGGGGTGTGGCCAGCCTACAAACCCCCGGCAGCCTGTTGTCCAGGCTGTTCCCATCCCCCAGCAGGGACCCCCCATCCCAATTGGTGTGTGGCCGGCCTGCAAATTGCCCCAGGCCTCTTGCCCAAGTTGGCCCCACCCCCTGAAGGGACCCCCACCCTGATCTGGGACCCCTTTCAGGGCAGACCAGCTGGCCCCCACCCATGTACCTGGCTTCTATCTATATGAATAAAAGGGTAATATGCTAATTAGACCGGACATCCTTCCAGACTAAGCCATGGTGGCGGGGCCAAGGCACAAGCAGTTAGGGGGATCAGGCCGGCAGGCAGGTGAGCGGTTAGGAGCCAGTGGTCCCGGATTGTGAGAGGGATGCCCGACTGCTGCTTTGGGCAGTCGGACATCCCCCAAGGGGTCCCGAATTACAAAGGGTACAAGCCAGGCTGAGGAATACCTCAAGTGCACAAATTTCATGCACTGGGCCTCTAGTATATATATATATAAAAGCCCAGTGACTGAAACAACTGGTGGCTATGATGAGCACTGTGGCAGCTAACCAGCCTGATCCAGCCCCCGATCAGTCGGCCAACCACCAGTGGTCCTACCCCCACCCTCCGCCGGCCCTGCCCCAGATCTTCCCCCATCAGAGTGGGCCAGCCGGACCCCACCCATGCACAAATTCATGCACCAGGTCTCTAGTTTTACTAGATTTACTGAGGCAACATTGGCTAACAACATTATATACATTCCAGATATATGACATTATAACTTGACTAGAGGCCCAGTGCACAAAAATTTGTGCACTCGAGGGGTCAGTGGTCTGCAAAGATCAGGCCAAAACCCATAGTCCAACATTGCCTGCAGCTCTTACCTGCTGCTCCTGCTCATCTTGGCCTCATTCTGCCTGCCGCAGGCTCGCGCCCAATCAATCTCAATCGAGAGAGGCTTGCACTGCCGCAGCAGCACTTGCCAGCCATGAGCCCTGCATCTGGTGCCCTCCCCAGGGGCTGGGGTGCCTGGACAGCCTGGGTGAGGAACTGAGGGCCGTTTTCAGGCTAGCCACACCCCCTTCAGGGTAGGGGTCCCCACTGGGGTGCCTGGCCAGCCTGGGTAAGGGACTGGTAGCTGTTTGCAGGCTGGCCACGGCCCCTTCAGGGTGGGGGAGACCTGCTGGGGTGCCTGGCCATCCTGGGTGAGGGGCTGATGGCCATTTTCAGTCTGGCCATGCCCCAAGGCCACCCAAGCTCCCAGCCTCTACTTTTTATCTTTTTTCTTTTTTTTTTTCAGTGCCTCCTTGAGCAGAGGCCAGGGTGGGCTTGAAGCAGGTATCTGGGATTTATTTATCTTCTATAATTGAAACTTTGTAGCCTTGAGTGGAGCCCGGGGTCGGCTAGGGCAGGCGGGAAGCTTGGCTTCCTCCATTACTGGGGGCAACCCAAGCCTCCTGCTTGCTCCAGTTCCGTGGCTGCCGTCATCTTAGTTGGGTTAATTTGGCTACTTGCTCCTGATTGGCTTGTGGGCATGGCTTGAGTGTAGCAGAAGGATGGTTAATTTGCATGTTTCTCTTTTATTATATAGGATATCTGTGTGCTCATTTGCATGCTCACCACCCAAAATGTAGTTTCCTTCCTTTACTATGTATTTGGCCCCTTTGACCCACTTTGCCCTCCCCACATCCACCCCTCTGGCAACCACACCTTGTTTTTTGCTAACAGCAAAGTCTCCCTAGATCAGCCTTGGGCAAACTATGGCCCACGAGCCGGATCAAGCCCGTTTGAAATGAATAAAACTAAAAAAAAAAAAAAAAAAAGACCGTACCCTTTTATGTAATGATGTTTACTTTGAATTTATATTAGTTCACACAAACACTCCATCCATGCTTTTGTTCCAGCCCTCCTGTCCAGTTTAAGAACCCATTGTGGCCCTCGAGTCAAAAAGTTTGCCCACCCCTGCCCTAGATAAACACCTGCTTCCCCAGACAAGCCCTTCCCAGCTGAGAGTCCCTTCTTACCCGTGCGTTCCTCAGGCTGAATGGTGAAGGCAGAGACACCCATCATCAACAGGTACAAGGTGAGCATCGTTTCCAGCAACATCCAGAGGCCCCAGGGGCTGCGGGTCTGAGGTCCTGCACTTTGTAGCCTAGAGGAGGAGACAGAGGGTCACCAGGGACCACAACACCCAAAGGGAGAAGGTGCTCCCCGGGCAGATGCTGGGAGCTTCACCCAGTAAGAGAAACCTAGACTTTTTAACAAGAAAACTCAAAATTTGGAGATTTGCTCCTCTAGAGCTGTCTTCACTGAACACACCTGCCGTCGAATCCCACAGTGCTCCGAATGACCTTGGGCTGGACCTTCTATACCCTAGTGCTCTCCCGGAGTCCCCTGCCCTCCCTGCCCTCCCAAGATGCTCAGAGGCCTCTCCTCTTCCAGGTCTTTGCTCAGATCTTGCCCCTGGTGGGGTCTTCCTGACCTCCCGTATGAATGGACATCACCTCCTGCCCCAATGCTCCATGCTGTGCTTCCTGCTCTGTTACCCTCTAGGGCACTCATGGTCCATCTCCCCTCTCTCAAAGGTAAGCTGTACGTGCACATGGATCCTATTTTATCTTATTCACAGTTATATCCCTACCATTTGTTGAATGTCTAAATGAGTGAATAGTGGTGAAGGCTGGAGGGGCAGGGGGGCTAGAATGAGTCAATGGGGGGGACAAGGTGACATGTGTAATACTTTCAACAATAAAGATTTTTTTAAAATATATTTTTATTGATTTCAGAGAGGCAGGGAGAGGGAGAGATAGAAATATCGGGAGAAACCAAGATGGCGGCATAGATAAACACGGGGAAATTGCTGCCTCCCACAACAACTGAAAAATACATCAAAAACACAAAACGGATATCATCCAGAACT